CCCTAGGCGATAAATAATGATCAGTCCCAAAGTTAACTTGCACCGGTCATGCGCGTGGCTTTCGTTCTGATTTCCTTTTCGTTTAAATTTTACCCATGGTGTAAATATACTTAAAGCGAGTGCAACGAACTTGTCTTTCCACTAACGAGAGGCTAACAGGTTAAGTATGAAATGTATAAAATCGAAAAAAAAAGGACTGACCACTTCTTTCAAAAAAAAAATGCATGAGGATGAAAGGCTCAATGCCTTAGTCAGGATACAACATGAACATTCCAAAGTAACTATAAGGAGCCGCCATGAAGTAAATCTTACTCCTGTACACTTCCACTTTAAGAATGTCGCCTCGATTCAGATGAAAAACGCCTCCCTGGAAGTTGGTGTTGTACTTTCTCGAGCAATTCACTGTGCTTGAGACGCTCCCGAGGATTTTGTGGTCATTTAGAACAGTGTAGTGGTTCATTGAGTAGCTGGTGCAATCGTAGTAATACATCTGGCTGTAAACATAGTACATTCCAGAACGACCGATCACCAGGTGACCCACATGTCGTCTGAACAAGATACTTCCATTGACGTGGCCTTCCTTCCAACGATGAACGGTGCCTACCCAACAAAGTTAACACATTTATAAACAATCCACAAGTTAAATTTTGATTGTGTAGAGACGTGCATGGTGGCCTAAGAGTTAATACGTCGAGGGCATCAAATCGAGAGGTACGAATTCGAACCCTGACCGGGTAGTGGTGTGTTATCAAAATGGCATTTCTCATAACAACTGTTCCTGATATAAAACGAATATTATTCGTATTGTCACGAGCGTTGGATAACGGAAAATCTGGGTCATCCACGAGAAATCGACCCCCTGATCTTTAGATGACGCCCTCCGATGCTTAACACTGAGCTATACATAGAGCTCTATTGTGAGCCAGACCATCGATGGCCATAGGAGGGTCTCAATGGGGTTAACCGTTAGCCGTAAAACGGCCAAAATATTTAGCCGTTAGACGTAAAAATTGACAAATTTTAACCGTTAGTCGTAAAAAAAGTTAACCGTAAAAAATATGTCTGGTGGAAACAATGGAGAGGTGTTAACCGTTAGCCGGAAATTGGCCAAAATTTTAACCGATAGCCGTAAAAGCCATCACCCCATTGAGACCCTCCCATAGGCCTTTTTTATTAGCTGAGCCAGCGCGGAAGCTGGCTGAGCAGGGTGAGCTTGAGGCGCACGCGCTGGAATGAGTGTATGGCACACCAGGTATAGCAAAATTACTAACGTCATACTGTGCCATACGAAGCAGATTATTACAACAATAATACTTATTCGCTGCATGAGTGCGGAGCGCGTTTAGCAGTTTCAAACTGTATTTCGCTTGCGGAGATCAAGGAGAAAATTGACCCACGGTCACGAGACTTAACTAACCAGCATGATGTACTCTTTTTCCGTCGCCAACCAAGTGAGCACTCTCTCGCATCTGGAAAAGAGAGAAACATGTTGATGATGGTGTTGTTACAGTTCAACTTGTGAGAAAAACAGAAGAAAAGGGAAAAAAAAAAAAAAAAAAACACGAGTTACGAGAAACTCAAAAGAAAAGTCAAAAACGAGTCTCACTTTGACATATATTTTGAATCGAATTAATTTGAACAGAATGCTGTTGATGCAAGGTTTACAACAAACAAAAATTTGAGCAAGATTCCTACCATGAGTCCTGGGGGTCCTCTCTCTCCTACACACACAAAAAAAGTAATAGGGTGAGCCTGCACTCATGTAATTTGCTTGTACAGCCGTCCCTAATGTCTGAGCTTGTATCATGTACGAAGTGTGACTTACCCAATTCTCCTGGGTCTCCCTTTGGCCCAGGTGGACCTACTTCGCCTGAAGGACCTGGTGGCCCGTAGGGTCCCTGGGAACCCTGTGGACCTGCTGGTCCTTTTTGACCGATGGGACCTTCAAATTGAAATGAAAATAGATTAGGTTTTTTTATTACGTACAACTGGATATCAATAGTAATCCTGATTGGCTTCCAACAAGGACAGTTATTTAAAAGTCGCTCCAGTTTTTGCTCTCAATCGTATCTTTTTCTTAGCCAATGAAAACAGAAATCTAAAACAACACGAACAATCAGATTTTTGCGATTTTTGATTTCGCACTCTTTATTTTCTCGACTGAACCAGTCAAATGTTGGCACTGAGCAAAAGCTTGAAATTCTTTAATTTTAAAATGAACGTGAGTTGATGGATTTTGAGCTTCGTGTGGTGCAAATTTGTTATAAATCATACGATTATCCCTCTTTCGTATTAACAATTATCCCCCCCTCCCCTCCTTCGCATTTAAACTTATTCCTCTCCTTATCCCCCCTCCCTTGGCATTTACAAGTGTGCCCCATATTAGCATTTACAATTATCGGTGCCTGAGGCACAAAATAACCTTGTTGTCCTTTTTTTCCTCTTCTTCCCTTGGCACCTGATAATGAAACACAGACAGACAAGTTAATCTGACCATCCGTTGGAATTTCATGGCAAGAAATTGAAGACCTCGTAGACATAGAATTGAACCGAACGCTATCTTATAAACATTATCTTTCACCATCATGGTTGTTTTAGTTTTAGAATATCCAGGCAGGAATCCTTGTCGAAAAAGTAAATGACAGCTAAAATTAAACGGATGCACTACAATTGGTATTTGCCTATATAACCATGTAAAAATATTGTTTTCCTTTTTTTTTCGGTCTTATTAAGATTTCCTAATTGATCAATAATACTGAAAGAACGGTCAAATGTTTTTGCGTGAACTTTTGGATCGTTTATTCCCAGTTTTATATTCCAGAATACGGTCAAAGACAAAAGCTGGACCTGGATGATGCCTTACCTGACGGTCCTGGAGGGCCGGGGGGTCCGCTAGGACACATAACCTTCCCACAAGCGCTTGGAGAGTTTCTTTTGCGCCTCTCATGGAAAACGTTCTTGATGTCAACAATTTCAGTCATCTGTACAAAGTTAAAAAGTTCGATGTTATTGAGCCTTTAGCTCGTCATAAACATGCTTCATTAGCCGTAAGTGATTTAGAATGACAGGCGGGTGGGCTCCCCCGCGTGCGTGTTTCTCGTATTCTGGTAGAGCGACACAGGCCAGTGCAGGATAAGATCTCGGCCAACATATTTGGGTTCCTGATGTAGCAGCGATCAATTTGTGATTTCACTTTACAAATTAACGCTATAAAACTATCAGGTAAAGCGAAGTTTTCCTGTTTATTTATCTATCTACTCTCTTGTTTGTCCAGGTGGAATCACAGACAGCCGGGAGCCCTAATAATGATAAGAAGATACATGAGCTACTTGTAGCGTCAAACACAACCATCTCGTTAAAATTGTGGTTCATTAAGATGTTCTAAAGTGACTACTTTGACCAAGACTAACCCTAGAATGTGTGGCAAGCTTTAACGATTTGCTCTTTGGGTCAAAAAAGAACTGGTTGCTGCGATAGAATTGCGAGGAGAATGCTCTTGACTGCGAAATTAACAGCCGAAAGAAGGGGAAAAGAAAGATGACTGAGAAAAACGAGAAAACGGAAATGGGAATGAATGAGTGAGTCGTATATGTTTCCAGTTGGAATGCAGCAGTTTTTTTTTTTTTTTTTCACGATTGAAAACTTCTATATGAAAAATGGACAAAGAACCCGACACAGGGAGATAAAATTGGCTCAACATCATTGAACTTGCTGAAGACCGGGGTCATTAACAGCGATTAAATATCAACTTTGCGGTGTTTGTACACAATACCAGCCACAGGAGGCTAACTAATGATGTCGGTGTTACTATACATTTGCATTTAAAGATGAATTAGCAGTGAAAGTCTCTTCCTTTCCGAGAATTTTAGCTTCATGCTGTCTGGCATGAAAATCCGGAAGGAAAGTAAAGCTCCGTATTAGACAACAATGAGCAACATGATATCCGTTTTTCCTTCGCGTGGAGATAATTGATGACCCCGTTTTAACTGATAATTGTGGAGAATTCGAATGATCATTTCTATCAGGCGGCAGAAAGTGACATCTTACTCTAGAGGGAGGTTTTATTTTGGTAACGTGACAGATAACGATCAGGAGTAATGGATGTATGCAGATTTATCTTCAACACGCAATCAAGGATGACCTTTTGTTCCAAATTTGCATCAGTTGTCAACAAGGCTGGTTTTGTGGAAAGAGACATCTCGTCGCGCACTAAGTATTATCGATGACATGAATTAAAATATCTGATTGCGTAGGACGTAATCGTCGATTATTTTGGACTTGTTGTATTACCTGAGGTCTTTTGTCCTTGTTTTCACGCTGGTCTTGGGTGCTTGAGGGCGGCACAGTCGTCTTAGAAGCGTTAACTGTTCCCTTCTCCAATAAAACAACTCTACCCCGCAAATCTTGGACGTAATGTCTCAACTCGTTGTAATCTCGCATCAAATAAACGACGAAGGCACTCAGTGACACGCAATACACGAGTAACAACACCAGAGCTAGCGCTACAAGAAGCCGAAGCGAACTTGTTTTCGCTTTTTCCGCCATTGCTGATGAGTTCCGCGCTGACTCAATGCGGCCGAGTTGAAATCGACATGGCTCACGGCGTCAGGGCTGACTGGAGCTGTAGCGGGGTGGTCAGACAACTTCCTGTCAGCGAGGTCATTAGTTGAGTTCTTAGAATTTACGCACCAGGAGTAAAATTGGATCACGTGACCTTCTTGTCTGTTTATTTGTCTGCATTGTGCTCCTTGCGTTGGTTTTGCTGCCTAAAAGGTTGGGAAGAAATCCGACAAAATACCACGCAGAGGTTGGGAAATTTCCTAAGCCAGATGGAAAGTAATGTTGAGGGAAGCTCAGATATACAAATCGATTATAAATGTTCGGAGTATTATGAATACTTTTTCAAACCCGTCAAACCAAGTTGCTGAAAGGTGATGTATAGAGGAATTATTGGTTAGATAACAGGGCTGGTCAGTAGAGCACGAGCGCTACTTTGAAAGTGATGGGGG